AATAACTTCTGATGTTTTGGCTTGGTAAAAAAGCAAGTTGGGGAGACTGAACAAAAAAAGGAAATCACTTTAAAAACAAAATATTGGTTTTACACCATAGGGTATCTATTACAAGAGAATTTCCTGTGGCGCCATTAGGTATTTGAGTCGGCTTCTATATGAATCCCACTGGGGAGAAATCTAAGATAGAATTTAGAGTCTGTAGGGAATCAGGGCATTAAGACTTGGATACACCAGAGCAAAGCATTCATTAAAAGACTAAAAGTAAACGAATCTGCAAAAGCTGGGGGAGGGGAAATATTGGAAACAAACAATTATCCACATCCTGATCTCCCATGTGTCAAACATTCTGACCTATACAATTTTTTTACTATTATCAACTTGGTACAGTAGCATTGCAAACATTCAAAATGGGTTTGAATTTAGAACGTGGAATTCAAAGATGAAATCTTAATTTTGAATGAGAAAATTAAATCAAAATGTAACTGCTTTGGAATTGTACCTACCTTTTTCACTCCTTGGATCATGACACCCATCATCCAATGTCATGGCAGCAGTGATAACCTCTGTCCTTAGCTTTCGGATCAGAAGTTCACTTAATCTAATAGGAGCTATAGCAGAGAATGGAGATTTGATCTACCAATGGTATTTATTATACTGCTACAGCAATATAATCAAGGTTATCACATCTTGATAATTGCTTTTTAAGAGTTAACTGTAATTTTAAAGCACTATTGCACGCCAGTTTTCACACTTTTCCAGATACACTTAGGTACATCCATCCAAACTTTCATGTACTCAATATTATTTGCATGTCAAATGTACTAGTGAAAACCTGCCAAATGTAAATGAGACATTAAACATCTTTTAATATCAAATGAAATTTCAAACAGTATTTAGTATCTCTTGAACAAGGAGAATATATAGTGGTCCAAATATACCATATATTTCTACAAGAGAATTCTAGAAGGTTAATTTTTTTTTTGTCATTGTATAAAAGAAGATTTGGAGACACTCTTTCGGTCAAAACTGACAGCAATAATTTGTTGAGTGAAAGGAAGCATAATAATTAAAGTAATTATGCAAATGCACACTAAATATAAACATAAAGATGAAAATTAGTTAATAACCATGCAACTGCTTTGTGGACAAATTACTTAATCAATTAGGCATTCATTAAATAGGACAGATGTGCTACAGATTAAATTGGTTTCCCTATAAAATGTTTCATTTAGCCAGAATTTACTCCTTACAGGATGGGTGGGAAACAACTTCACTGGAGGTCTGAAGGCCAATACATTAGGCTAGAGCTGTCTGCTGATGTGCTTAGCAAAAATGTGTCTCTGATTTATTTGCGTTTGCCACTATAAAGGCTTCAAATGACGGATATTTATCTGATAGTATTCTTGACAAATTGGTCCAAGTAGGTTGAATAGAGCATGGAGAGAGTCATCTCACAGAGCACACATAGAAGCTTAGAAGAAACTAGGATAGAGAATCCCTCCTACTCAGGAAGAAAAGGAAAGGAAAGGAAAGACCAATTCTGTTTCTTAGAAGTTAGCTACTACAAAGATATTTCCAAATGTTCAATGTATATTCATTTGCCAAACAGAATTGCTAAATGTTCTAACTGTTAAATGTTCAGGGGCAATTAATGCTGGCATATAACAAATGTAAACTTTTTCTTTTTCTCATTAGTTATTCATTGGAAGCTTTCTTACTGATGTGGACTTTGAAGAAGCAAGATGGGAAAACTATTGATGCTTTTGAAGTTGGGTGTTGGGGAAGACTCCTGGGAATACCATGGACAACCAAGAAAACAAATGGACCATCAAACAAATCAACTCAGACTTCTCATTCAAGGCACAAATGACCTGTTAGATCGGGTAAAGGAGACACAAAGGCTTCAGTAAACAACAGCTCTTTATTGCAAGTCAAGTAAACATCAGGCTGGAGAATGGTCGGGCAGCATCCCCTTTTAAAGGGATCTGTCAGACCTCTTGACCAATGAGATTCAACCTCTCTTCCCACCAGAACAGAGGACCTTGGTGGAAACCTCTTTCAGTCTGCCAGCAGGGATGGATATCTAACACCCCTCCCCTCTAGGATGGAACAATCTAACTAGTGACGTAGTCACGCAACCTCCTGGAACCTTTCCCAGGCCGCGGCTGGATCTTCTGGTGTTGACTCGCTCGGAGCTCGCTGTGGGCCTGCATCGAAGTCAGATAAGTCTTCCGATATTCTCGGGCTTTGCTCGGGTTTGGAGGAACTATTGTTTTTCATGTTTCTTCTTTCGGTTTGTGCAGGAGTTATATTTGGTTGTCTAAGCACTGAGTTAGACAAGCGGCTACAGAGTTGGTCTATATGCCTTCTCCAATTTCTACCATCCTCAAGTTTTATGATGTACGACCGAGGACCGGTAATTCCAATTATAGTTGCGGGAATCCATAATGTTCCCCCGGTGTAGATGTGTGCATATACCGAATCTCCTATGGTGAAAGACCTGACTTTGCTCGTGGAGTCAGGAGGTGTTGAGGTGGAATAATTTGGGTGTAGCCGATCTAAGTGAGACCTTAGGTAGCGGCCCAGGAGGAGTTCAGCGGGGCTTCTTCCAGTGGTAGCACTGGGTGTGATGTGTTGTATGAGTAAGTAGTGATCAATTCGTGTTTGCCCATCGCCTGGGCCCATCCTATTGAGGGCTTACTTTGCGGATCTTACCATCCATTCTGCCTGGGCATTGGAAGCCAGATGGAACGGCACAACGAGGGCATGTCTGATTCCCTGAGCTGCTAAGAATGTTTCGAATGGCATGGCCATGAATTGGGGCCCGTTGTCAGAGACTAGTACATCAGGGAGGCCGTGCGTGGAGAATAGTCTCCATAGTACCTTGATGACTGATTCCTCTATAGTGGAATTCATCAGGACTACTTCTAACCATTTTGAATATGCGTCCACAACTATGAAGAAAGTTTGGCCGTGGACTGGTCCAGCGAAGTCTATGTGTATTCTGGACCATGCTTCTTGTGGGCGCTCCCATTCCTTGATGACCACTTCTGGGGGAGCCGGTCTGGACTCCTGACAGGGCATGCATGTAGTCACCCATTCTTGTAAGTCCCTGTCCATGTTAGGCCACCAAACATAACTCCTTGCTAGCGACTTCATTCTAACAATCCCAGGATGACCTACGTGCAGCGCTTCAAGGACTGCTGTGCGCAATTGTTTGGGAATGACTACCTTGTCCCCCCACAATAAACAACAGTTAATAACCGACAATTCATCCCACTTGGAAAGTACATTTTGAATTCAGCTCCAACAGGCCCCTTGGGCAACCCCCTGCACATCCAGTTCAAAATTTGCTTTATTATGGGGTCCTTTGCAGAGTGGCATGCCACATCACTGGATGAGACAGGTCCGGTGTCCAGGCAGTCAATGAGGAGGACCAATGTCTCAGGGGTGGGGTCAGTGAGAACTTCGGGCAATGGGCAGTGACTCAAAGCATCCGCGTGCCCTAATGTGGTGCCCAGTCGGTGGACGAGGTGGTAGGAGTAGGCTGCTAGAAAAATTGTCCATCTGATCATTCGGGGAGGTAGTGATACCAGGGTGGGGTGATCCCCAGCCAACAACCCTAACAAAGGCTTGTGGTCTGTGACCAGTTCGAAATCCCGGCCATAGAGATACTCGTGGAATCTCTTTACTTTGGCTACTGCAGTGAAAGTCTCATGGTCCAGTTGGCTGTAGTTCTGCTCTGCCGCGGATAATGTCCTGGAGTAAAATGCAATGGGGGCTTCGGTACCACTTGGCATGCAGTGGCTAAGAACTGGCAGAAGTGAGATTGGTGATTCTATCATCTCCCTCTGAACCCCTTCTTCCAAGCCCCTGATTTGGGTCACTGTTTGCGGTTTTGGCCCCCCTTGGGGTGTCCTGTGGTCACAGGAAAATCGCTGCAGCACATCTTGGCAATGTGTCCTTTCCGCTCACATCGCTGGCAAATGGCTTCGCAGAAACGGCAGGATGATCGGACATGGTCTCCTCCACAGCTGGTGCAGGGCAGAGTTTGTGAATTGAATTTTTGCGCCAGCTTTGTTTGGCTACTGCGCATGTGGTAGCTGTCTTCCTCCTCGCTCTCAGAGATCTCGGGCTGTGTGGTCTCGCGGTGGATGCGGGTACTTTTCCGCGCATCCAGAGGTACGCTATGGTGCTGGAGGGTCACCACTGATTGGGTTGTTGATTCAGATGCTCTAACTTCATGTAGTGCAATCTGCAGAAAGAGGTTGGATCTAGCCAGAAGCCTTCTCTGCAGATTGAGATCTCGCATTCCCAAAATTATGTGATCCAGAGTCAGGTTGTCCAGTTCACGGAACTTACAGTGGGCTGTGGCTTTCCAGAGAGCCGCCACGTATTTGTTGATCGATTCTCCCTCCTTCTGGTTCTGTATATTGAACTGGTACCGGTGAACATATTTAGATGGCTTTGGCGCATAGTGGGTCTTCAGCATTTGTTGTAATGCAGACCAGGATACTGCTTGTAGAGGGGTCAGTTCTGAGAGGTTTTTTGCCATCTTGAATACTTCCCAGCTGCAGTACCCTAGGAACAGGTTCTTTTTCCGGGCCTCTGGAACTCCCGTAAGATCATTCACTTCCAGGAAACACTCGAATCGTAGCATGTACGATTCCCAGTGTTCTGTAGCTGGATTGTATGGAGTTGGTGGGGTGTGCATGGCCAATCTGGTTCTCTCTGGTTGTTCAGCAATGGCTAGCTCGATGCCTCACGGGATGCACCGGCATTGAAGATAGCGGTGGTGAGACCCCTCCTGAAGAAGCCATCACTAGATCCAGCCAGTTTGAACAACTACCGTCCAGTCTCCAACCTCCCCTTCATTGGGAAGGTTGTTGAGAAAGTGGTAGCCTCTCAACTCCGACGGTCCTTGGATGAAGCCGATTATCTAGACTNCCCCCCCAGGATAAATGCCTCCCGGGCGCTCCGCACAACTTGCGCTTCTCCTTCCCTCTCGCCGAGTCGGGCGAAGAAGACTGAGCGGGGGTCCCCAGGCGGCGGGCTCCCTTTCCCTGCCCCCCGGCCCGAGGCCATGTCCACGGGCTCACTGAGCGATGCCGAAGACCTTCCCGAGGCGGAGATACTGGACTGCTCCGGCAGCCTGAAAATGGACCACTGCGGTTCGCCGTCCGCTCCCCGCCAGAGTCCCGCCGAAGGCTCGGCCTGCGAGCGGCGCTCCCCTGGCAAAGGCCGGGGCGCGGCGGCGGCGGGCAAGGCGCGTAAGAAAACGCCGGGCAAGAAGAGCCCTCCGGCGGGCCAGGAGGGCAAGCAGGTCCAGCGGAACGCGGCCAACGCCCGCGAGCGGGCTCGCATGAGAGTACTGAGCAAAGCCTTCTCCCGCCTCAAGACCACCCTGCCCTGGGTGCCGCCGGACACCAAGCTCTCCAAGCTCGACACGCTCCGCCTGGCCTCCAGCTACATCGCCCACCTGAGGCAGATCCTGGCCAGCGACAAGTACGAGAACGGCTACCTTCACCCCGTCAATTTGGTGAGTGAGCCGTTCGGGAGGCGGGAAACGCGCGGCCGGGGGTGTGTGTGCGACGGCTGAAAGGACACGCGCGCCGCGACGTTCACACCTGGCTCCGCGCCTTCCTGGCGCCTTCAGCTCCCCTTCGCTTCCCCCCACCCCTAAATTCCCTGGCCAGCAAAGTCGTCGTACTTAGCCGGGTGGGTGGCGTCTCCCGGGCTGGCGATGAAGTCCGTTTTCGAAGTGGTGCGAGGCAACTGTGTGAACTGTGGAAAAGTCTTCGCCCGCCTGGCGCGCTCGGCGCTTCCCCGCGCGCTCAGACCACTCGGCGCTCGGTTTGTCCCGAAAAGGCGCAGGGAGCGACGGGCAGAATAATAAATATAATAATAACGCCAAAACGATAATCACTTATCGTTTAAAGGAAGCCCCCCCCCCCCTTCTGTGGATTGCGCCACAGAACTTTTTTTCAGGCGTCCCGGCCGCTTCGTACTAATAACTGAGGGGAGCCGTCCGATCCTTCGCTCACTAAGTCCACTAATTGATTAAGGGTGGTGGTGGGAATAGTCCGATTTGTCACTTGGCGAGATCTGGTTTCGGCGTGTTTTATCTGGAGGGTTGGAGATTATTACGAGTAGTACTATCGCAACCACTAACGACTGCGACTGTTAACGTTATTTAAATCGCCATCCAAAACCGCTTTTCCGAAACGCCGAATAACAACAACGGAGTTTAAACGAAAAGAGGTGCCTTCCCCCTTGCCTCCTTTCTCACGCCCGTCGTCAGGATCCTTCCACCACCACCCCTCTTTAAATTATGGGCTTTTCGGGAGTCGAAGGGTTATGTGTGGACCGTACACCTTCAGATTTACAACCAACTTCTCGACTTCCGTCACGAAAGGAGCCACAATCCGTTTGTAGGTCACGAAGGAGGAAGAAAGAAGACGGGGTGGGCCTGATAGGAAGTGGCTTCGAATACTTACTTATAAGCTTCTCCATTTATATATATGTCGATTCCGATATTTGGAGATTCCCGTTATTTATAGCAACAGAATTGATCATAAAGAGGGAAACTTTTAGCCCCAGTTTATGGCTGAAACGAAGGCAAGAGTTTCTAAAGGGAGGAACTCGCTTTAAAAAAAAAACTTCCATTCTGGATTTTATCGATTGAACCTTCCTTATTGGAAGGGAATGTGGCAGGGGGCATTACATTCCTTCTCTGTGATTTTTTTAATTTATCTGATTGATAGTTTACTTTTATTGTGGTCCTATATGTAAAACAATTATTTTCATACTCGTATTAATGGTTAATTAGTTCGTAATAAAGGGATGAGGCTTTATTTATTACTCTGGTTAGCAACAGTAAACATATAAAAAAGTTAGTCAAAGCGAAACAAACCCAGAACCTCAAACTATTTTGACTGATGGATTTGGGAGAAGGGATGAGACATGGTTGACCTTGTTAGTTTTGCTGATATCATTATTGCATGCATACGTTTACTTCATTTTTAAAAGACATTTAGATTAGTTACTACAATAGCATGACAATGATGAATAATTTCCCACCACCACAATACAGATAATCTACACAGATTTTATTTTGCTAGCAATTTTGCATTCATGACATTTAAAAAACAACAAGGTGATTTGTGGCTATTGTCTTTGCCCATAAGAAACAGATAGGACTGTAATTTTACAGTTCTAGCATTATATTTTCCTTATGAGGTTTCTGACCTCAACAGAACTTTGGCAGCTGCAAACCAAAGGATACAGTCAAGAAGAAACCCCCATCTCCAACTTTAAAATGCTTTTAGAGGAGATAGTACTCTTATCTTTTTCAAAACAAAGCAAAAGTGAAGTGGGAGCTGCGCCTTGACATTACCCAGTCAAGAATAGACAGGGGCTTAAAAAAAAAGATGTCTGCCCCAATATGCTTTTTTGGGTTGCATTCATTATATATCTATTTGAGAGAAATATCATTTCTATCAAATATAACAAATGTTGGTATTTAGGATCAATAAAGCATGACCTTTCGCTCTAAACAAGATTTCAGAGAGTTATGAGAAACTTAAAGAGTAAAAAAAACATATTTATGGTGCAAAACATGACTGCAGCTGCATGGGGCAATACGGTGGAGCCATCTTAAGAACCTAGTTACACTCAGTAGCTTGTGTAGCTACTTCTTCCTATTGTTTGGAAAGAACACCTGGGTTATCTATGTAAGACTTTGTTTATTACAGTTCAAGAACTGCACCATTTAAAATACACTGATCTCTCTTTCTCTCTCTTCCTTTCTTCTTCCTTTCTTTTTCTTTCTCGCCTTTGCCCCCACCCCTTTTTGCTCCTTGGCTGCAGACATGGCCTTTTATGATTGCTGGCAAACCAGAGAATGAGCTGAAAGAAGCAGTAAACACAACTCGGTTGTGTGGCCCTACTGCCTCCTGACCCAGGATTTTTGAGCATAAGAAAAGCACTCTTCTCTGTGGATGAATGCAATTGTGCATTGTGTATACGAACGGGTGGAGGAAGCATTTCAAGGAGACAACAAACTGTTTTCTCGTGGAACAAACAAATCCTAAAACTGAAAAGAAGACCAAATGTACTATGCCAAAGGAAAGTGAAACAATCACAAAGAACATATATTTAACTTTATTAACTTGTATATATATATATATATATATAAACATATATATATTTTGAATATCCTGCAGCAACACCTTGCTGGTCCAAGTGCTGTTCTCTGGATCCAACTAAAATTTGCAACTTTCTATCTTTGTGTACTCCACTTTGTGAAAGACGGCGATTCCTAGAATCAATTATTCTCAAATCACATCTCTAAAAAGAATACACATTAAAGATATTCTATGAATATATTTTCTTCAAACAAATTTTGCTATAATTTGTTTAATTTTTTTAAAAAATATCCTCAACGGGAAAACGAAAATAGCGCACTGTGGTATGTGGGGTTTTTTTCCCATTTGTTTCCAAAGAAAAGAGAAAGAGAGAGGATTACTATTTATTTTATTTTGGCTGAGGAGATTTTACAAATCTTAAAGTGACACAATCCAAAAACCATTTGACCTCAGATTATGAAATGTTTACTTTCCTAATTAAGAAGAGGTAGACCGTATCCTTTGGGGGGAGGTTTAGATGGCTAGAAAAACAGCATGTAATGGCTGTCTCACTCAAGAAGGAAGGAACCTGTTTGTCACATTTCCAATAATTTAACTTAAGAATTAGGGAGATTGTGAAATTAGCAACAAAGTTTAATGCAAAATTTGTAGCTCAAACCATACATTTGTATTGTCATTACTATTCATGTCTTAATTTAGAATGGGTTGTTTGCAAAGCTGATAAGGATGGAAAACAGACAGTTATTATCTTTGCATACCAAGCCATCTAAGTTTTATAGAATTTTTTACAAGTCATGCAAATGAAGTGTTACCATGGAATGTGTCTTTTCTAAACATTTCTAATGTAAGGCTGAAAACAGAAAAATGCTCATTGAAGGTAGGTACAATTTCTTTGAATAGAATAAATCTGAAGCAGGGTGCTTGAAGGATTAAAGTGATTTGATTTATACTTGGAAATAAATCCCAGGTAAGTTCAGAAGGTTTTCCTGTTAACCTCATTTTTTCCAAGGGATTTATATGATGACCCTAAATAACTTTTTGGAAATTAGCATCAGCTCTAAATTATACATTCCTAAATAACAGACACAACATGAGAAAAAATACTTCCAGATTACATCCCAGCATATTTGTTTTTAGTTAAGCGACTTGAAGATCTGCTGTATATAGTTTGGGTTTTTTCGTTAAAAATGGTAGAAAGGAATTATTTGAAAAGTATCAAGCAGGTCAAACATTTTTTTTCTGAATGTCACAAGGATGCAGTTAATAATTTAAATTATATATGAATTAGAGTAAATGTAAAAATGTAAAAAGCATTTTTACCATAAAATATTTGAACTTTTGCTTTGTTCTGCCATTCAGACTGTGTCATCCATAACCTTTCAAATAAACCAAACAAAGCAAAAGCTGAAATATTTTGCTTTAAGATTTTTTCATTCTTGTTTGCATATCTCTAATACAGTGATAGAGGGATAGGCAGACCCAAGCTACCAACAGCAATGTTGGGGGCAATTACTTGTTTGAGTCGGACAGCTATAGAAATCGAATAAATATATAAAGTTAATTAATGCTTTCATAAAGAAAGGCAACACATTATCTTCAATATCCTATGCTTATTAAGAAACTTGGTAACTCAAAATACTCTTTAAATGATATCACCTTTATCTTCAATATCAAGTAAACCTTTATATATCCAGAAATGAATCAGAATCGAGCTGGAAGGGATCTTGGAGGTCTTCTAGTCCAGGCCCCTGCTCAAGCAGGAGATCCTATACTATTTCAGACAAGTAACTGTCCAATCTCTGCTTAAAAACCTCCAATGATGAAGAAGCACCCACAATGTCTGAAGGCAAGCTTTTTCCACTGGTTAATGTCCTCACTGTTAGGAAATTTCTCCTTAATTCCAGGTTGCTTCTCTCCTTGATTAATTTTCANTTTAATCGGGCGCGCTTTAGTGAAGCGCGGTTTTGTCGTGCCACGCTTACAACTGCATTGCTTGTGGTCAGACCTAGATATTGCATACAAAATTATACGTAATGTTTTACCTGTAAATGACTTTTTCTGTTTTAATCGCAATAATACACACACAAACAACTGCTTTAAACTCAATGTAAATCATTCTAAACTTGACTGTAAAAAATATGATTTCTGTAATAGAGTTGTCAAAGTCTGGAATGCCCTACCTGATTCAGTTGTCTCAGCTACACATTTTCAGTTTCAGTCACAAATTGACTTCCGTGGACCTTAAGTGGTCAGTAGAGGGGGCATGCATAAGTGCACTAAAGTGCCTATCATCTCTGTCATTGCATTTTTATTCTCTTCTTATTATTATTATTTTTGTTTGACAAATTCAAATATTTCCCTTGTACAAGACATTTAGCAAAGATTATCATCTTTTTTAGGTATGGTGAAACTGAACTTATAGCCTGGTCAGCTGTAAAACCAATGATATTGCACAGTATATTTCATGCCCAATTTCATTTTGATTTTAGCTGGTCAGAAAAAGACAATCTAAATCTTTTTATATCAGGGAAACTTCATAATTATAAAAGTGGAATATTTTATGATTCCTGAACTTCCCTCGCATTCTCATACAAAAAAGGATTCTTCAGAATGGAAGCTATTGCTATTATGCAGAATGTTGATATATTTTACCTATTCTGGGAATGAAAAAGTAGGTGATAGAATCCATGTCCAATAAACATAACTATTCACAAAGTATATAAATGGATTTAACTATGCATTTAAAAGGACTGCAGTTGTTTTCTGGTTCAAGGAATCATTCCACACATAAAATCTACTTACAATATGCTAATTTTTTTTAAAAAGTCTCTACTTGATTCAACATTTCCTGCCCTGCTCCCTGTCTTATAGCAGCAAACACTATTCTGTTCCTTAGAAAAATAAAACTTTTATTTTCTAAGATTAAACTCGTTTTACGCATACCTCTAAAACTGGGGTCTCCAACCTTGGCAACTTTAAGCCTGGAGGACTTCAAGTCCCAGAATGATTCCCCAGCCAGCTTTGCTAAAGCAACCTTATCTTCAGTGTCACTCTAAGTGGGATCTCTAATCTCCCCAGTAGGGGCAGTCACTGGTTACAGCTTGCAGATGTTCTGCTCCATTCTATACTACACAGAAGTAGCAGGAAAGCATAAAGAGAGGAAGTTTGGAGCAGTGACACCTCTGTGATACAAGATTCTATCCAGAGAACTTCTTGGGGGGATGTTGGGTGCTTCAGGACAGCTTAAGATTCTTCTAATGCTGTTAGCCACTGATCTTTAAGGCTTTTTTCATTTTTATTGATTTTGCTGTTAATATTTAATTCCTGCTGATTTATATTATAATATATAGTGCTATTTTAGTGGTTCTCTTCTATTATAACTGCTGCTAATGTTGAGCTTTTAACCATGGTTGGCCACTACCATATGCAATACAACCCAACACCCCATTTATTGTCCCCAGCGCCTCCCCAGACTATGTGGGGCCAAATATTTTGATATTTTTTTCCTGCGGCCAAGGAGGTTTAAAAGATTAAAGAGTGAAATAAGTATCTTAAGCCTCACAGAGGCTTAAGGTATCCATACCAACTTTTTTGAAAAAACGTCCACATTGCTCTGATTCAGATTGATCTGGAGGGATGTCACACTGCAAAGTTTAATGTACCATGTTTTCTCCTTGAATCTACTCCCCAAAGTTTTAAAATAGCAAAAGGATCCAAAATTTTCAATTGCATCATTTGGGTGAAATCCTAATGCTGTAAAAATATGAATTTTTTAAATAAAAAAAGAACAATTCCTCCCAAAGAACCCAAACAAAAAAAAAACCCACTACAGACTAAGAAAGGTTGACAACCCTGTTCTAAAAGAACTGTATATATTTAAATAATTAGAGTTTAAACATCTGGTGCATACATACATACATGCATGCATGCATACATACATACATACATGCATGCATGCATACATACATACATACCAGGGACATGCAGTCACTAGAGGTAGGGGAGGCATGGCCTCACCAGTCATGAGGAAAAGGAAAGCATTTTAAAGAATTTTTTTAAAATAATAAAAGACAAAGTAGTTGCTGCCAGATTCCAAGTCACAGTGACTTGGAACAGTGCTTAGTGTTAACTATAGGAGGCGGCAAGAGAACTAGGGGCCTCCTATGCATAAGCAATTTTTTTTGCCTTTTAAGAGTTAAGCAAGGGTTAAAAAGCGAAAAATTTTGTATGCAAAGGAGGCACGTGTTCTCTCGCCTCCTATAGAGGACATTTTTAGAGGCTTTTTAGAGTTCTCTGGGAGCAACTAGCTCAGTCTGACTCAGAGCTCTGGCNCACTCCCACCAGGTCACATGGCTGGCAAGCCACTCCCACAAAGGAGGCCACACCCACAGAGTAGGTTCCAAAAAATTTTGAAACCCACCACTGATGTTGATGCAATTGTTAAATGAAAATGTTGCATTTAGATAGCCCTTAAATTAAAGTACATGGTTTAAAAATTATGGAAATTATCTTTCTTTCTTTCTATCTTTCTTTCTTTCTCTTTCTTTCTTTGACTTGGAAAAGGAAAACTGGTTACTCTCCCGAGCCATCTTAGGAAATAGCATATAACCTAGCTGAGAATTCTGATAAAATTGTCTCTATATATGAGGTCTGTATTTTATATATATTTTCAGTATTTGCTCACTTTTTATACTACATCGTGATTTCATTTGATTGCTGCCTTATCTTGCTTCTTCCATTTCTTCAGGCAATTCATTGAATAAAGACCGTTCTTTTTAGGAATGGAGTGGTAGCTCAATCTGTCTAGGTGAATTTCCAAAAAACTCCCAAAAGGCAGGATTTTAATGAATGCATGACATATGAAGTAGTCGAGTCCAACTTCATACCCCTTTTGAGCTTGGACTTACTTTTATGGTTATCCTTTCAGGCACATCATTTTATATTCATTTTATATTCATGTTCATGCATTCATTCATTTCTTTTTGCTAAATGCATACAGTGACATTTGATGATGTTCAAAGGACAGACACAAATGCACATGTCAAGTCCTACCACTTTTCAACCGGTGTTATATTCATTGCGCACATATCAAAGGGGGAAGGTGCGACCATACACGTGCATTTTGATATTGTTGATCCCACCCCTTCAGTGCTTCTACCATGCTCTTACATAGGCATATATTCAATCATTC